AAAAAAAAAAAAACGAGGGGGAAGAACCAGGAGGGGGTTTGAGCGAAAAACCAAGGCAGAAAACGCAAGCAAAACCCGAAAACCAGAGCAGGAGACAGACGAAGACAGGGGGATCACGAAACGAAACAAGCCGAAAATCAGAGGAAGAAACAGAACCAGGGAGGAAACAGAGACGAAACAGAGAGGGGGCTAAAAACAGAGAAATAGGGAGAGAGCAAAAGGACAGCATTCCCAGCTTTGCCTTTGATCTCAAAACACAAGTGAAGTGCAGAGAAACTGCAAGCATTGGTCAGCCGCTCGTCTCCAGCTTCACCGCACCAAGTCAGTAGCAGCCAAAGAAGCAAAGCCAGAAGAATAGAAGGGAAGTTTGAAACGGGTCCTTTGCTAAGTGTCGCCCAATCACTCAGGAGGAGCATCACTGTCATCTCCATCGTCTCTGGCAAACCAGGTAAGCCAATTTTTCCTTTCGTTTTTCCTTGCCTTATTTTGAGAGGAACATTGCACTGTGCGAAGGTAAATTAATTACCTTCGCACTGTGCATGCACGCGTGGAGATACTCCACGCGTGCCTCTTGTTGGTTTGGGCCCAGCCGGGTCACTGGCTTGGGCCAGTGACCTGGCCGGGTTGGCTGGGTCCAGCCCAGTCCATGTGGGCTACCCAGCCCAAAAAATAGAAAAAAATAAAAATAATAAAAAATTCTGAATGTGAAAAAAACAAAAAAAATAAATTTGTTCTTTTTATTCATTGAAACTAGAGTCAAAATAAAATATTGATTCAAATTTATTTCATTGAACTTTGTTTAATTTTGTAAAAAATAAAAATAGATAAAAAATAAAAATAAAATAAAATAAAATAAATTTATAAGTTTATTCATTGACGCTAGAGTCAGGAATAAAGGTAATAATTTATTTTATTTTATTGTATTTCTCTTTTACTTAGTCATATAAAAAAATATATATGCATAAAAAAATAAAATTATTTGATCTATTTATTCACTAAGAATAAAAAATATTGATTTAGATTTATTTAGTTTTTATGGCTGCGTTTCTATTTATCAATGTCAGAGTTGGAAATATCCATAGTTAAATATTTACTGACACCAGAGTCAGGGATATTATAAGCAAATTATCATAGCGCAAACTAATAAACATTTAGCAATTTAAGACGAAACTAGCAATGCAGCCTGCTTTACACAGGACGTTTAAGGGGTGATGATATCTTCCCTTTTACGTAACCAGTCCCGAGCTATTAAATCTCTGTTGACCAGTTAGGGTTCCTAGTGACCATAATACTAGGTGACGACTCCTTAAACAAGACAATTCCCCATTAAAGAATAGGATACCAAAAATCCATTCTTTCTATTGAATAAATTTTTAAGGCCGTCGCGATGTCGGGTGCGACATAAAACATAAAATATTTAATTTTAGGTACTTTTGTTCTACTTCAATTTAACTATCTTTTGCTTAACTTTTACAACTAACTTAATGAATGTCATGACTTTTGCTATATAAGATTTCTAATTAATTTCTAATTTTTTATCATAATAATTAAAATTAAAATTAAAATTCACTTAAAATGTTTGTAGCATCGCACGAGTACCAAAGCTACTTAGAACTCTAAAAGTTGTTGGATTTTTTTTATTGTGTAAGACATTATTATTCATACTCTTACATATTAGTATGATGGATGGATTTATTATTCATACTCTTACATATTAGTATAGATGGGCTATGTAAATTTTTTTGTTTTTTCAAGTTACTCCTTAAACTCTTTTTTTTTCTAGCGATGTAATCCTAATTGAAGACTAATTGATTCAAAAATAGGTGGCGTCATAAGTTTTCTAAAAGATACACTTTGATCCCTCAACTTTAAAAATCATGTAATTTCAGCACCTCAATAATTTTTCAATTCAATTTTGATACAAAATTTATTGTGTTTATTTGTTAGTTCCTAATTAAGATAGAAAAGAGAAAGGTTGCTAGATTTTGACACTAGATAAATAAAAATATCGTTGACACAAATTTAAACCGCCAAATTAAACTATATTTATATTAAAAGATTTTATTTGACAAGAGAAGTTTATATTAGGTGTTGTTTACCTTTAAAATTTGTGAAAAAATATATTAAAGCTTGGGTTGATATTTAGTTTTGGGTTAATTTTGATTTTTATTTTTGAGGCTATAGATAAGTTGTTTCTATGGTATTTTTATAGGTATTTTGAGTTAAAAATAGATTGAAAATAAATTTTAAGATAAAAAAACATAAGTCTTGATTTTTCATCTACAAGAAAAATTAAGGGCCTGGTTGAGAGAATAAAAAATTAAGAGCCTAGTTATACAGGCTTTTCAGGGTAAACCTGCGCTTGAATCCTACAAAATAGATTAGGTGAGTCCGCCTGGCTTGTCCAGTAATGATTGGGCCACTTACTTAATATTGTAACCCATACTAAATTTACCTTCTTCCACTATGTTTGGCTGACACTCAACATTTTTTTATTAGTGTTTTAGACTTCAGTACTTTCTTTAATTTGCTCATTTTCACCAGGCAAAAATCTAGGATCAATTTCCCAGCAATTGTCTCAATCGAAGCGGAAGCATTCACCTAAACCATGTCGAGTGGGCACAAGTGGGAAATTCTTAAGGAAAAACATGACAAAGGTAACTGGAATCGAATAATAACAGAAAAACCAGAATTATAAACAACGCAACAACACCAACATCATCCAAACCTTCAACCCTGTTTCATCCAAAGTACGTGTTTTCATCTTCTTAGAAGTCTGAAGAGGGGATCTGCTCGTGTGTGGCTGGGCTAATGAAACAGACCTCGTAGACAATGGCAGCAATTGCAGAGCCAACGAATGGACCGAGCCAGTAGACCCAGTGGTTGTCCCATGTCCAGCTCACGACTGCTGGTCCAAAGGAGACTGCGGGGTTCATGGATGCACCATCAAAAGCACCACCAGCTAAAATGTTAGCACCCACGATGAAACCAATAGCAATGGGTGCAATTATCCCGATGTCACCCTTTTTCGGGTCAACAGCTGTTGCATACACGGTGTAAACCAAACCAAAGGTCATCACAATTTCGAAAACAACTGCATTCCACACACCAACTCCAGATGATAGAGAGAAGGCTGATGTTTCCTGTAAAACGAAAAGAATTAAACATGGTTCAGTAAATAAACCATTGTAACCAGCATATTAGGCATATCATACAGATCAGCATTAGCATACAGCTAGCGATGGAGTAATTAAAATCCATACCAATCCACCAGTTGCAAGCTTAAGAAGCAAACAGGCAACAACAGATCCAAGGCACTGGGCAACCCAGTACAGAATACTTCTAATGAATGTTATGTGGCCACCAAGGAAGGCACCGAATGTAACAGCAGGGTTTACGTGCCCGCCGGAAATGTTGGCACCAACTGAAACCGCAACAAAGAGTGCAAAAGCGTGAGCCAGCGACGCGGCTACTAGCCCGGCCGGTGTTGATGAGCCATCGTCGGTAAGCTTGTCTGGAAAACATCCATCATTTTGATTATTTGTAAATAAAATCTCTCATTATCAGCACTTGGAATAACAAAAACAAGTACTTGCACAGTTGTGTCCTATAACACAGACAGTAGTGACCAGCTTACTACTTTGATGGACTGATTACAGCACTAAATTTATATTCATATCCAGAACATTAATGTGTAATCAATCTAAATTGAGCTGAGAAAAAAAGGAGTAGGGAATTAATAGGTTCTTACTAAAAGCCATGCCAGAACCTTCTCCCGCAAAGACAAAAATGAGCATGGAAATGAACTCTGCTAAGGCTGCCTTGAGCGCATCAATCTGGCCGACCTCTGCAGGAGATCCGAACGCAATGCTAGTGATTGCCATTTTTAAAATTAATTAACTTTACACCTTTAAGCCTGATTTCAAACAGCCTTAAAATTGCTTTTTCCCTCTTGTCTCTGAAGCTGATGATCCCTTGGAGACATTATATATAGGTGGAGAGCAGCCATGAACCGGTTATATCCGGTTACAGCTTGATTTCTTAAGATCTCCTTCCTGACAGCCACCTTCCATTTTGCTGCTATTTCACCACGTGTATGGCTGGTGTGATATAGACCGGGCAATCGAGGGTGGAGAAATTCTCATCACCGACCAATAGTTGGTAGATGGTGGGTCCTGCAATGATTGTCGAATGACCGACCATTGGATTTCTTTATCAGGGTGACGTGGACGGTTGGGACAGTAGCGCTGCCTTCATTTTCATTAACTAATCAAGCTTAGTTATTGTTAATAAAGCTGGTTTTGTTCTGTGATGATATCGACAAATGAGCTCCGATGTGTATACTTTGAAAACCACACATCTCCGATAAGACAATAATTAATTAACATGTCTTTCACAATTTTCAGTTTCTAAGGAATATTATTTTTACAAAAAAAAATGTAAAATCCTTCACAAATAAATGAATATTTAAAAAAAAAATCTATGCTACTAAGAAGTAAATAATAATGTTAATGCATATTTTTTTTTAAAAAAAAAAGATACTCGCAGCAAAGAAATAACTGATATAATGTTATTAATTATTCTTTGAACACTATAAATTTCTTATATTTAACTTTTTTTAATTACACGGAATATTTATTAAGAAATGGATTAAGAAAAGGATCAAATGAGCTGTTAAAATAAATAGAAAAGTGGGTGATAAGGGCTGCGGGGGGCTTGGCACTTACATTGGGATACATAAGCATAAGCGATTAAAATTGAACCGACCATATTCATTAATGTTTGATAATTATTCCAATGTCATCATGTCATTAACCCATGCTTTTAATACTCTGGGTTTCCGTATGACTTCATCTTGTCCTCGAATATCACTGTCAGGTTTCCATCTCCTTTTTATTTTCTAATCTTATGTGCTTAAATTTATTAATCTCTGGACGGCTAGGTGGGCTGCCTGGATAACACTTTATCCTCCTTCTCTTATATTTTTTTCCACCAAAAAAATATAAATTTTATGTTTTATTTATTTAATAAAAATCAAATGCAACAAGGACACATATAAAAAAATTAACAATTTAAAATAAAAATAAGATATGTATCTCTTTAATTAAAACAATTTTATCTTATCAATAAAAATGGATATTATTCTAGCTTCTTTTTTTATATATATTAAGACATTGATATCTTTGATCGGTTTAAATTTATTTATTAAATTCATAATTTGAATTATAAACTTTTAATTAATTTTAATAATTTTTTTTTGTTTTTTTAAAATTATATTGATAATTTGTTTAAAAATAAACTTTTAATTAATTTTAATAATTTTGTTTTTGTTTTTGTTTTTTTTAAAATTATATTGATAATTGTTTTTTAAAAAATAAACAGTATGCATCACTAAAAATAGAGTAAAAGAAATATTTTGAAGGGCTGAATAATAACTACATGAAAAGAACATTAAAATAAAATTTCAAACTTAATTTCAAGCCAATGCAATATAAAAAAAATAGTTCGACGAATAAAAAAAAAGGACTAAAAAAATATAATTACAATGCAAATTATTTCTATATTATTTGGTATAGAAATACCAATCTTGAGCCCAGCCCTATTTGAAACAAAGTCGGCCTTCGAACTAAAGCTCAAGTTTAGGCTGCCAACATGTTCTTCTTGGGCTTAATGGGACCATAATACATCTTTAATCAAATCAAGCAACTCATCAATAATAACCTCTCTCTTTTTCCAGAAATCATCCTAAATTTTGAGCATGGTAACACTCTCTCCATCCTTAGATTTATATCCTAATGTTTATAAAGTTGATTTAACTTTATATACCAAGTTAGGAATTCAAGAACTTAATCAGCAAAGAAAATTCTAAAATATTACAATATTAGCTATTATGAGCTTATCGTAAAAGAAATATTACAAGTTTGTCATTCCCTCCTACCATTCATATCATTTCGTCATCTTCCTACCACAATTTATGCCTATGCCTCCATCTTTGTATTTTTTTAATCATATTATCGACCAATAGTTAGATATAAACCCTCGAACATCAATTTTTCACTCAAATTTATGGACTCTTTTTCTTCTTCGTACTGTCACCATTTCTGCATTTTTTTTCTTCGTAATAACAACTAACATTTCAGCATACACTTAGCTTCAATTCTCCTATCTACAACAACAAATACACAAATCAAATTATTAACTACAAGTAAGGAGACACAAGAAATAAACACCTAAATAGCTTAAAAATAAGCAAAATAATCATTTATTACAAAATAAAAACACCCATAAACTTCCTCTACACATTTCATAAACTACATGTCACTCTTTTCCGTTAACAAGCCCATCCTTTTTACTGTAATCATTTTTTACTCAGATTTTCACCAAACGTAAACCCATTTCTTGATTCATCGTTTCTTTGTAATACCAAAATATCCCTTTCATTTTTCTATTTAATTCCTTCATGTAGATTCCTTTTTATACACCTCTTTATTTTTATTTTTTAATATAAATATTTAAATGAGCTTGTATATATCTTAATTAATTTTATAATTTATTAAGTTAAAGATTATATAAGTTTATAGTAATTTTAAAAATTATAAAATTTGAACTAATAATTTCTAAAAAATAAATTTAGAATTTAACCTGCTAAACTATATCTTTAAAAGTTAATTTTTTTATATTTAAAAGTTATTGTTTTGATATTAATGTTATTTATTATTTTAAGAGTCTTCCCTAGTTGATCTTGGTTGTTAGATTTAAACTTATTTTCACCATTCTTCGCCATCTTCACCCCTTTGAACATTGCTTTCCTACAAATCGAAACCCTACTCAACGAAAAGGAAAAGAAGACCATTCATCTTTGATGTGCTGGACAAGCTCATGGCTAATTATTTCAACATCTCAACAAATATATGTTTAGCGATCGAAGAACGATTCTAACTTTGCTTTGCTCTTAGCTTTGTTGTCGTTCACTGGGCTATTTGATTTGTTCTTTGCTAATCGTTGTAAAGAGAAAAAAAATTGAGAAAATTTGTGACAGTTGATTATATTATATACACGGTTATTTGGTGTTTTAATCAAAATTTAAAATTGACGTTGACTTGTACATAAAGTATAGTTTCTTAAAATACAAAAAGAGAGCATTACCTACAGTTTTTTAAAATACAAAAAGAGAGCATTACCATACTCAAAACATAATACATTCTACATAATTTTTCCTTTTTTAAAAAAAAAAAATTGTTTTCGTATTTAAAAAATTTTTATAAATTTTTTTAATATTTTTCTTTAGATTAATTTTTTAATATTTTTTTAATATGATGATATCAAAATAAACTTTTAAAAAATAAAAAATATTATTTTAATATATTTATAGATAAAAAAAAACCTTTTCTTGTCTCCAAGAATATCTGGTAGCGGCCAGAAGTAGAACCAAAATTCCGCGCATCTGGGTTCAGACCAGCAAGGGCACGCGATAGACTCCCTGGGCCAAAGACGGGCTCTTGATCTGGCCTCCCAATGCCTAAAATGGTCCGACAAGTATCTCCAAAACACGGCCTTTGTCCCCTCAAAACATAAATCGAAGCCCAGTGAGTCCTTCATGGGCTAAAACCATGCAAGAGATTAAAAGGTGTACAGTGCCGGTATTACATGAAAATTTGGAGTGAATTTTTCTAGTTTGTTTTAATAATAAAAAAAAGGCAAATGTAGAGCGAGATTAACAAGGTATGGTCAACGTCTTATCTTTATATGCAATATATTTTATTTTCTATACATTGAAAACTAATTAACCCCATTATGGAAATGCGCAATTGTTAATGTCTTCTAGATATTTATCAGTGAAGCATTTCAAAAGGAGGAGACTGCATTCTAGCTTGGTTCCTCGCCGTCTCTCACCTACTCTCCCACCAAATTCCCCTCCACCAATAAAGCATTCATCCAAGGGAGTCTAGATCGGGAAAAAAAATAATAGAGTGTTGAGACTTTTGAGCTAGCATTTACACCGTAAAGCTAACTGATGCAATCCGAGTCAAAGCAAACACCTACTAGATGTATGCCCAGTCAACTAAGGATTGAAAATGGAGGATCTTTTTGGCGATCATTCTTAGGTTTGATGCGGTTAAAATTCACTTTGGAGAATCCTATGACACGAAACTATAATTGGTGTTGTTGCCTTTTTACCGGCATCTCACTGCATGTCGGGAACATGGTCAGTATTTTGTTACATTACCTCCCCAGTGTTATTTCAGTTTACATAACTCGTAAACTTAAATTTGATTGACCGTTGCAAGATTTAAAAACTCACGGTTTTAGTCAATGTATTTGTTCTCAACCCTAATAAACTGTCTTGGAAAACAATTCGTCACTCATAAGCTCAATTAAAAAAAAAAACATAGTTTTTATGGGCACAGCCTAGAAAAAAATCTCAATTTCTATAGGATTAAATACATTTTAAATTTTATATTGTATAAGAGATATTACATAAAAAATCTTTTAATGACCTATAATATTTTTATTCTATTAATATTTGTTAAAAAAAAAAACATAGTTTTTATGGGCAGAACCTAGAAAAAATCCTCAATTTCTATGGGCTTAAATACATTTTAAATTTTATATTAATATTGTATAAAACATACTGTGTAAAAATCTTTCAATGACCTATAATGTTTTTATTTTATTAATATTTATATAAGAGATATTTTTTTATTAATACTATCAAGACAAAATTATATTCTAATTTTTATTTTTTATTGCATATATATTTTGAGAGTATCTCTTTTTAAAATATCATTTTTTTCTCTTTATAAAATAATAAATATCTAAAAATTTTAAAAAATATTAAAAAAAATATTTTATAGATATCATCTACCAATCACTTTGACTTACCAGGTATTAGATACCGGTTCAGTTATCTTAACTATGAAAAATGGATAAAATTATTAAAATTAAAAAATTAATCAATTATCTAATA